ACAAGCTATGGTAGGCCTCTTGCTGTTTTTCCAAGCGGTTCTCATCTGCTGCCCCGGTGGTGAGGCCTGTGCACACAAGGGCAGTTTTCTCTGCGACGAGGCAGGAAGCTGAGCAGTGTCCTCTCCCCACCAGGAGCTGCAGCTCGCGTTTCACAGACGCAAGAGGATCCCGGATTTGGAGAAGGCAACTGGGATTCTGGACTCCGAGCCAAGCTCCCAAATATTCTAGGGCAAGCACAACAGAAAAAAAAAAAAAATGTGTATTTGTGTCTGTGTTTTCTTGCTCAAGCAAAGACATGAACAGACAATTCTCACAGAAACGTTTCATTTTTCTGGACGATTCTAGAAAACCAGACCTTTGTTTATTTGCGCAAAGACTGCCGTGTGATTCAGATACACACCCAGACAGGACAGCACTCTGCCATGTGAAACATCGGCTCTTCTCAATTTTTTTTTTTGTCTTTTTCTGACTGTAACAATATCACATTTTTTTTAACACTTGCAAAACATAGAAAAGAATGACAAGAAAAGCAGCCCACCCAAAGCCGTACTTTCAGGGAAAGTGAATGTTAATATTTGAGAGAATTGCCTTCCAAGTTCTATATCTACATAGGTCATGTGTTATAAAATGAAAATCATAAGTCACTTACCGCTTGATGTATTTTGAGAACTGCACCGTATATACTAAACAGCTAAATACTATTCCAGCACAAGATGTTTAATTTTCCATTTTGTGGCACTCCCTGGAAAGGTTAAAACAAACAAGCAAGCAAACAAACAAAAAACCTGCCTGCCGTCTGACATTTTAGATGGCTTCTTTTTAAAACCATCTTTGTACATTGCTGCAATGAACACCTCATATTAAAATTTCTATTTAACAGAATTGATTAATGTGTCAAAGGTCTCGCTGCCCATTGTCAGCTGGAACCTGGGCGGTCCAGCTCTGTCAGTGGCCATAGCTGATGGGCTTCCTTGAAGACAAGCTCTTGGAGAGAAAAGTCTGTATTCTTAGGGGGAGCCACAAAACCCCACCCAAGTCCCTGCAAGGGTGGAGGACTCACTAACCCAGGCCCAGCTTTCTGACTCGGGCCACTGTTCTAGCTCTGTTAAAACAGCAGGAGCTGTGAATTGTAGGATTTGAAGAATGGGGTTTGTGGTGGACGGGATTTTGTCTGGTTTCTCAGTAGCTGCCACCATCATTACCCATGTCCCCTTTGGGGAAAATGAGAGACAAGAAGGACCTCATGCAAATTAGAACTCGGACAGAAAAAGAGCATTTTCTCACTGATGACTTCCTGCAAATCAACAGCAGACGTACAGGACGCAAGTCTGATGAAGGCAAGTGAAAATTTAGTGTCTTCTTAATCATTGTGGTCGGGACCTACGACTCGGATCTGCCCCTTGTCACTTCAGTCAGCAGGTCCCAGTCTCTGTGTCTCGGCAACACTCCCAGCTAGTGAGTTCTCTCCCCGCCTCCTGCTGTGTCCGCCTCGACCGTGTTCTCTGCCAGGACCACTCTCCATCCTCTCCTCCTGCCTGCCCTTGAGGTCTGAGCTTAAATGCGAGCTTCGAGCCAGGTAGGAGGGCCTTGAACCTTGAGGAAGCCCCTCCCGCAATTTTGGGGGGGTGCAGGTACCTTATACTTTTGTGAACCTAGTGGGTAGAAATTGAAAACAATCTTTTGTTTAAAATTGCAGATGTTTGTTTGTTTTGTTTTTAAAAATCACCTATTTTATTTGGGGAAGAGGGGAGGATCGTGCATTTACTCATGGGAAGGGTGGTGCCTGACCTCAGAGCAATGGTTCTCAATTGGGGGTGATTTTTGTCCCCCAGGGGACATGGAGCCTTGTCTGGAGGCATGTCTGGTTGTCTCCATGGGGGAGGCACTGGCATCTGGTGGGCAGAGGCCGGGGACACAAAACTGCAGATTTTCTTATCTGGCAGGAGGTGGAGACTTAATTTCTCCTGGAAGGCAGACTGTCCTTTTGTCCAGGAAAAACCATCCCAAGGGGACACTGTGTAGATGTGTGTAGGACCAAGGTCTGCACGTGCTGTGTAGATGCTGTCTACAGTGGTAGTATTGCTTTGTGAGGGAGAAAGAAGGTATTTCTAGGAAGAGGGCAGAGCAGCCTCTCTGTACGCTACTTTTATTTTTAGGTTGCTTTTGAAGAGGTGTCACAATGAGGAAGGTGTCTTTGTCTCACCTTGACCTTGGAGCTGGGCAGGGCCTCCGTGGTTAGGGAAGAGAGACTAGAAACCGGGGAACTGCTTCCATGGAAGACGTTGTGAGGCCGTGGGCACAATCATAATTCTGTGGAGCCCAAAGGGACAACATTCAGCACCTCTGCGATACCCCAAACACACCCATACTGTGTTCTGCCTGGTCTTTACAAGTAGGTGGGAAAACACCAGTCCTTCTGGTTTTTATTGGACAGCAAGCAGCGTTACCAGATTTTCCTATGCGTGCCAGTGATGGCTGAGCTAATTCTCTTGGGTGTCTAGGCAAATAATCATACTTCGAAGTTCTATTCTATGCATTTTCACAATGAAAGAAGCCACGTACAGCCAAAGCAAGTGGAATGATTAAGATGCTGTTAAGTTTCTGAACACTGGTTGGGAATGCTGGATCTGAGAGTGACGGGTAAGAGGCTAGAGACAGAGAGATCCTCTAAGACCCCTGGGCAGCGTTTCGGGAGCAAAGTAATGATGTCCTAAGATAATGGACACTGATCTGATAACAAAAAAATATTTGCCCACACAGACACACACACACATGCTTGAGTATATAGTTTAGGTGTCATATTGAGTGGTTTTGGTGATGTGGTGGATCAATAAAAACAACTCTCAGGCTCAAAGCCAGAAGCTTGGTAGTCTAAGTAATTGTTAGCAGGAAATTATTTTTAATAGACAATGAAATCATTTATCTGTAAAGAGGTGATAGGAAGTATTTTAATTAAACTACTCTGTTTACAACAAACACACTTAAGACTGTGGATTGGAGAGAAATTCGCTGTTAGTTCAGTTTTTATTTTTCCTCTGTGGTCTGAAACGTCACCCAGCTGTACCCTAAACCCCGTTAATTGGCATGCACACCGCGCGTTCCCAGCCTTCAGGGCCACTTTACGGGGCTGTGATCTCGTTTGGGTCGCAAAACAGCCCTGCAGTATGTGTCATAATAGAAAATGGGGTTTGTGGAGCAGTTTACAGCCGCAAGCACTTTCCCCGATGCGTCCTTCCAAGGTCATGTACGTGTGCGATGCTGATGGCTTACATCCAGCCCGCGGTGGCAGCGCGTGGAGGTCTCTGGATACAACGTGCCATTTTGTACTCCCATGCCTTTGCCTCCCCGACCCCCTCTGGTGAAATGCCCTTCCCCGCCTTGTCCAGCTGCTGGGCCCCTGAACATTCAGGAAGGGCCCCCCGTTTCCCCAGGGGATGATGGAGGTGTTTGGTAGAGGAAGTGGGGGCAAGCACGGGCAGCATGGTCTGTAGGAGGGAAGGGCTCGGCTGGTGACCGCTGCGGGGCTGGGGGGTCGCCCCCCATCTGCTTACAGGGACAGCAGCTCAGGCCTGCAGGTGCCTGGGCTGTCCACGGAGGTGCCAGTGGCGTCCCTGTTACCCAGTCCCAGCTCGTACCGCTCGCCACACGACAGGCCAGTAAACTGAGAGATGAGCTGTTGGGACAAGGCATCGTGACTTTCTTCGGAAAGCCAGCAGACCGAAAGGATGGTGGACTAGGGTCCAAAGAAGCGTCTTGCCTTAGTTAGAATTCAGGCTTTCTTTATACTAAAAGAGGAGGACGTAAAGTCAAAACACTCTCTGTTTCCAGTCAACCTCCAGAGAAGAGGCGTTCATTTCTTCCCGCCTGCAGTCATTCACAGGTGGGCCTGGACAGGATGCTTCCTGGGAGCTAAACAAAGGTACTTTAGCTTAATGTTCATTACCTAGGAGACAGGGTTCCCAGAGATGGGCCATTATATGTAATTTAAGGTGACAGGCAACATCCCTTTAGTGATTAATTTGTAGCAAAAGCAATAGAATGCAAAGGCTAAAGTAAAAGAAACAGATCCAATATGGAGTCAGATTTGTTCTTCCCTGTTGCATCCTGACAATGCAGAAGTGCATCGCCTTGAGCCCGGAGGCATCCTCCTTCCGCACTTCTGCTCCTTAGGCAGCTCACTCCTGTCTCCAGAGAACAATGCTGGGTGCTCACGCCAGGACTCTGCCCACCCACCCCTCCAGGGTCCCATGGAGTGTGTGTGTGTGTGTGTAAAACACACTTCTTCTCAAAGGAGAAAGAGAAAGAAAAGGAGTTGTTTGTTCATCTTATAAAGGGGAGCAAAACAGTGGAGCAGAGAAGCAGGGACCCTGCGGTGGTTAGTTCCGTCAGTTTGGGTACCACTTCCCACCCTTATGCTCGCCTAGCCCCTATTTGTACCCTTATTTTGGTACACGGAATAAATGGCACTGGCTTGGTGACAAGGGACAGAGTCCCAGTTCAAATTAGCTCCAGCAAATGAAATGAAAGTTGAAGGAGGTTTATTGAATCAAATGTTCAAGCCACAGAGAGGGCCAGGTGGAGCCAGCCCCGAGCCTCGCTGCTGCCAGGAGCCTGTGTCTCTGCTCTGTCTTTGCTCGTCTCAAGGACTTGGCACCATTCTTTTAGGATGACGCAGGTTGATCACTGAGGTCATGCAGCTGGGCTCTTCCTGGAGGTGCAGTGAGGGCCACGGACTAATGGAGAAATCTGTGACCCGGACCATCCTTCGCAGTTTTGTCTCCTGGGAGCACTCCCTCCTCTGTGCTGTGACTGATTACCCACAGCCCCTCAAGGATGAGGATGATACCTGGTTCCCATTGTGTGTCTTTGCTTTAGTGCAGCGTCTGGAATTCAGAAACTCTCCACCAAATGCTTAAAAAATAAAAGAATAAATGAATAAACTCATGGGTGACAATAGAGGCCAGATTCTCTCTCTCTCTCTCTCTCTCTTTTATAATAGAGGGACTGGGGATTGAACCCTGGACCTGTGCACGCTCAGCATGTGCTATATCCCTTCCTGTCGCCAGATTAAATCAGAAAAGAAAGCCCAGCTTGGGCACAGTGACAACACACGTGGCCTCAGGTATGTTCTTGTGTGAAGTGGGCTTTAGTTAGTACCTATGGGCTCTGCCTTTCTGGGTGATTTTTTTTTCCACTTTCTGAACCATAAACCACACTGGAGACTGGGATGAGCGCTCATGAGGCAGATGTGAATACCTTCAAAACGCTCCTGCACCTTGAAAGTGGCACGCCATCCTACGGCCTCGAGCTGGGTATCTCGTCCGTCCCGCCTGCAAAGGCGGATGCACTGCATTTGTCTAGAAGTCTCCGTTCCCCTCCCACCCCCGCAGCTAATGTCAAAGATCTCACATTATGGTCGGGTGAACCAGGAGAATATTTTTCCTGCATAACCTTCCTAAATGCCTAAGCGGCAACATCACTGTCAGAAAATGCTGAAGCACCTGTTTTTCGCCACCCTGTTTGCAAATAACAAATTAGGTTGACATGACTTTCTCCTGGAACACTGTTTACATTGCACTTTGCCCACGAGGAATGTTTTGAATTCGAGCAAATTAAGCACTCTCCAAACGTGGTGTTTAAAATAATAAAGAACTCTCCGGAACATTTAAGCAGGGCTGGAGGCTTTCCTGACAACACCTGTGATTCCCCAGCTGTTGCCATGGAATTTGGCCACGGACCTTCAGTGTGTTTTTCCTAACATTCGTTTGGCAGACATCACTACGTTCAGTTAACGTCCTCAAGAGAACTCTTTCTCTCCCTCGGACTTGCTACAGGGATTGAAGTCGTCTTAGCATCTCGTACAGAGTCGCCAGCATTAAACAAAACTGTAATAAGATTCCTTAACATACGGGGTGTTTCTGTCCCCAGGCTGCTAAGACTTCCCAATTCATAGGAGACACTATTTTGGAGTTCCACCGAGGGACTGCCCTTGAAAAGCAAAAAACAAGACAAAAAGAACGACTCTTACCTGAAAGTTGAGGAGGGTGGTGTTGCTTTACTGGGGAGCTGTTTGCTACAGAAGTAATTGAGATGATTCCGGGAGCTGTCTTGCCAACTCCGGGAGGGCTTTATGAAGAAATGGGTCATGTGTCGTGGTGGTCATGGAATTATCATTGCTCTGTGCCTGTTACTTCATCAAGGACTGGGGTTTTTCACACTGAACCCCTAGGATAAAGGGTCATTTAAGACTTTGGTTGTGCGGGGCGGGGAGGGCACCAAATACTTAAGTTACTTCTGTGCTTTTTGCTTAACCCGCTTTTAAAAATTATTACTTCCTTTTAAAAAGTGAGGGATAGACTCATTTACTATCTCAGATTTAATGAATATAAGACTTTATCGTGGTGAAAGTGCTGAATTCTGCCCAGGTGAATTTACCTATCGAATACAATTCCAAAAATAAAAGAATCCCAGAGATTTCTTTCTTTTTAACTTGGCAAATTGATTGTAAAGTTAATCTGGGGAGAATAAGTTTATGAAATTAGTCAAGACAATTTGGGGAAAGAAGATAATAAAGGAATGTTTGAATTATTAGATGTCAGCAAATATAAAGTTGCAGTGTTTTGAAAAGCATGACACAAAGTGAGACCACTTACTTGAAAAGAAAGTGTTCCGAAGCTGTCTCTGATGGCTACAGGGATTCAATATATGATGAAGATGGCTTTTCAGATAAGTGAAAAAGAGGAATAAACAATTCAAGTGATGGTATTGTGACAACTGGTTAAACATTTTGGAAGCAAAGCACAGCTACTTACCACTGTAAACAAACATCAGTTCTAGGCAGATGGAAGATTTGCATATTAAAAAGAAAAGTGAAGCAAAGGAAGGAAAAATAGGGCAGGATAGATGAAAGTTTCCCTAGCATTCCTGATGTGGGTCCTACGTGTGTTACGTGTGCATATACATACATGTGTGTGCGTGTGTGGATGCCACATGTGTGGTCTGTCTCCATTTCAGCCTCCTTATTCCCCTGAGAATGAGCTAGGACCCAAATATAAACTTGTCACTCCCCTATTTGAAATTCTGCAGTGGATCCACACCACCTGCCTTAGTAGGATTAAATCCTGAGCCCTGCATAATCTCTGCCGTCTCGACCCTTGTCACTTTCCCACAGACCCTCCGCGCCTCACCTATGCCAAGTCCTCAGTTTCTGAACAAGCAACCGCCTCCCTCGCCTCTGTACCTGGCACACGTGATTCTCTCCGTCTGAAATGCTCTTCTCTTCCTCCATCACTTGAATAGTTCCTGTTTATCTATTAAGGCTCAATCCTTTGGTTACCATCCAGGATGTATTAGGGTTCTCCAGAGAAACAGAACCCTTATTTGTTTATATATTTATATTTATTCATATATTATATTTATTTATACATTATAGATGTAAGCTGGAGAAACAGGAAAGCTGGTGGTGTGATCCAGTCTGAGTCCAAAGGCCTGAGAACCAGAGGAGCTGATGATGTAAGTCCCCGTGTGAGTCTGAAGGCCTGAACCAGGGGCACTGATGCCTGAGGGCCGAAGATGGATGTCCCTGCTCGAGGGGAGAGAGCAAATTCTCTTTTTCTCTGCCTTTTGGTTCCCCTCAGGCCCTCAACAGATTGTACGGTGCTCACCTGCCTTGGTGAGGGTGTATCTTCTTTAACTCGGTCTACAGGCTGAATCTCTTCCAGAAGCACCCCTACAGATGCACCCAGAAATCATGTTTTCCCAGCCATCTGGGCATCCTTTAGTTCAGACAGATTGATGTGTGCAACCAACCACCACCCCAGGCAGACTTGGACTTGCCTCTGTGATGTTGCAGATCAGGGATATCTCTATTGAGCACTTATTTAACTGGATTACAGTTGCTGAAGTTTGAAAGTTGTATCTTGATATATGACAAACTTGTCTCATCAAATACAATAGGACAAAAGGATAGAAAGGACAGAGTAAAAGTTTCCCTCCTCCCCATTCCAACTTCCCTCCAGTCCCACTTCCCAGAGTTAACAGTTTCATGTGTCTCTTTACAGAGATTATCAAAAAGTATAGAGAACAGATACATGTCTTACCACCCTTTTCTTACACAGATGGGATGGTAGAGTATATACTGTCCAACATATGGTGCTTTATATAATTATTATTTTCACTTGTTATTAATCCCTGAGCTCACATAGACATTAGTATCAAAGGCATCCCCAGAGTTGTTCAGTGTACAGCCTGCGTAACTGTACACAGCAGTCCAGCTGTCTTCCTTGCTACTTTGGGAGCCACTTAAAGACAAAGACAGTATCTATCTTTTATTTCTATATCCTTCCTGCCTGTTATAATTCCTGGTGTATAGAACTTCCTGTGTGAATGACTGAAAATCTCTGAATACAAAGTCTTGTATTCCCTGGACTGCTAACATTCATGGGCACATTAAAATCCTCAGTTCTATAATATTAGCACAGCTATGAAAGTATCATAGAGAGGTAACCACTTTTCCAAGCCATCAGTCAAATGGGGAAGCCTATTAGAACTCTTTGTGTCCTCTTTGTGATACACTTGGATCTATGTTAGAAGAGGCTTTGGGAATCAATTACTTTAGCCATTTATATCTGTGGTCTAATTTTATAGATGAGGACATTAAAGCTCAAAGAGGACAAGTGTCTTGCTGTTGATCATGGGATAATCAGTGATGGAGTTGAGAGTTCACTTTGGGAGTTTGGACTCTGAGACACACATCCTCTTTCAGCCCCGCGAAGCTGCAACATGGAAGAGCAGACAGAACGCAGATGCTGCGGTGAAATGCTAGGGAGTCCTTGGAGAACGTGGTGCTCTATGACTGCTTAATGATGCCAGGAAGCCTGCTTCGTCATTTAGGATGCTTTGGGCTGCAAGTAACAGAAACCCTAAGTCACACTGGCTTAAACAAGAGGGGAATTCACTGACTCTCCTAAATGGAAATCCAGCTGTAGGCTGAGCTTTGGGGTCTGTTTCATCCAGGGGCCCTGGTTCATTTCTCTGAGATTTCCTTAATTATGCCTTGCTCTCTGTGTTGGCTTTATCCCCAGGCCGGCCTTCCTTTTAGTAGCAAAATGACCATTGCAGATTCAGGCTTCATATTTCTACCCTGTCAATTCAGGGGAAAGGAGAATGCTTCTGTCTCGGCCTTCCCAGCAGGAGTCCTGAAGGTTACCTGGATCGCATCGGTTTAGGTGGCATGCCCACTCCTGAGTCAAAGAGGGCGGCCAGAAGAGAACACAGTGATGGGTGTAAGCTGGTCCTGCTCTGCTCCTGAGGCTTCCCCCCGGCAGAGGTCACGGGGGCTTTGGGGGAGGAGTTGGAGGCAATATGAGGTTCTGGGTACTGTTAGGAAAGGAAAGGGTGAAGCTGGATGCCAGGTAGGCAACCAATAAAGCCTACTGACATTGCTCCCTGACTGTCACCTGTTTCTACTAATACAGGACCCGACCAGTAAAGCCTTCCCCACCCCATGAATTTCCGAGCTTCCCCAGAAGAATGCTCATGTGGGTTCACAGACCAGTCTAATCAGCCAAATGAAGATATCTCAGGTTTTCCCCCGTTTTCTTCCTTTTTTCTGCCTATTCTACCTCCACTGGACACTGTCTTCTTGGCCAAGCACTGCTAACACTTAGGTCAGAGGTCACCAGCCCATCATCTTCCATCTGACACCACCACCATCCCCATGAGGGCATTCTGCTCCAACAAGGAGAGTCGGCATTCCCTTCACAGCCTTCGGAGAGGCCTCAAAGCATAGTTTCTTGTGCCCCAGTGTCTCAAGGAACTCTCTAAGAAAATGATTCTTTCAGTATTTTCTTTATGAAAAGATTTGAGGAACAGTCTGAGGTCAGATACCTCACTAGTCAGAACTGACTTTCTTCTCCAGTGCGGAGCCCACTTGGCGGCCTGAAAATGCCATCCTTAGGATGGGGGCTTTTAATAGGGGCACCTGTGAACTTGAATGCGAAAAAATAATCTCTATTTTTAACATCTTGCTGAAATTCAGCATTTCCTTCAGTTATGAATGTAAGCAACCAGCCACAATTGTAAGCACACTAGTAAGTGACCTTGCCACCAATGGAAACCTCGGGTACCTACAAACATCACCTCCGATTGCTGCAGACATCTGGAACTACTGTCTGTCTTTACCAGTGCTCGGCAATCATAGTAGTTACTAAACTCACCATTCACTGGACGTTGTTTTTTAAAGAGTCAATCAAGAAGCACACATATTCATATGTTAATGACTTTTCTGAAATATTTTGATATCATTGATGGCTTTGATAATCATGTATTTTATTATTTTATATATCTATGTATTTATTATATATATAATTACATATATATAATATTATATATTTAATTCGTTTAAAAAATTATTCTGAGAATTTATCCACTGGCTTCCCCAGACTGCCAGAGGGATTCATGGCTCAGAAAAGATTAAGACCCCAGCCTTAGGATAACTTGTTTCTCTAGAGACATCACAGAACTGGTATTTTAGTTTCCAAGTTAATTTTCCTTTCTATCTGGCAATGTCAATGTGCTCAGTGTTGTAAATTTAGGATCTGATTATCCTCCGTCCCTGTACTTTGCACTCTTACTATACCAAAGGGGACAAAAAAAAAAAAAACAGACAAGAAGGGCCTCTTCATTGTTTAGCACTTGCTACATGACCAGGGCCCCAGTGGTCGAAGGATGCTTATTATAGAGGCAGATGGATCTGGAAGACATGGGCCTTCCTGGCTCCATCACACTCTGTGTCCCCGAAAGACTCTTCCTCCTTCCCAACTAAGGAAAAGTCAAAAGTATTCAAAAGCCCCAAGTGCCTTGGTTTCCTTCAAATGGTTTTGAAAAATGCATTTCTTTTCTTCTCTGCAATGTGGCATTCCCCCTTCCCTCCAATTTCCCTCTTACAAGGGGGAATCAGGTTGGAGGGGGAGTCACATGTGAATCTAACATCGCGGGCGATCTAATTACTCACTGCCCCCTTATTTCCAGAGTTCCCAGATTTTGAAATATTTTCTCTCTTGCTTACTTTTCTATTACAGATTTTTCCAGCCTGTTTCTGAGACCTTCCCAGCTTCACTCTCTCAGCCCTTCCACTGTGTGTTAAAGAGAATTTCAACGTTCCAATAAGAAAAAAAAAATCACCACGTTGACATGTCCAAATGCTTATCACTGTCGCAGGCAGCACTTTTGTATAACAATTCAAGCTACGTTCCGTTTAGACCTCGAATCATTTATAAAGGCAGGTCCCTCCCGACGACGCCGGCAGAGAATAGCCGCCCGCGTGGGTGGTCCGGGCCCCGGAGCCCAAACGCCAAGGGAACAGATGACATCATGGATTCACATGGCAAGCTTATGGAGCCGCGGTTCAGCCCGCCCGGCGGAGCAGCAGTCCGGAGCTGCCTGCATTCTCTCTGCCGGAGCATTCTCCGCTCCAGAGCAGAGTCACAGGACCGGGACGCTTCGAGATGATATTTTTAAACCTGACATTCAAAAAGACTGGAACATTCACAAGCATTGGCAAGACGCTGCTGAAACTACACATTCCGAACGGGGCAGCGCGGTGGGCTGGGGCGGGGGTGGTCATCACACAGAATGAGTTTGCAAAGTGGCACAGCAGACCCTTTGCCTGCCTGAATTGCTAATTCTGTCCTCCCCATCCCCCCCACCCCACCCCAAAAAGACTGTTATCCATCTTTTCCCAGACTTCTGTTAGGCGTTCTGGGCTGGCACAGAGGGGAGCAATGCACCGATTTCTGCATGGACCCTGTAGGAATTGCAGTCTGGGATGAGGTTTACAAGAACACAAGTTAAATCAGACTTACGTGGAGTTTCCACCAGATTTCAAGGTTATTGGAGAACACCTGCCACTGGCAAGAGTGTCCCTGAATGCCAGCCCAGAGACCCACTGAACTTCCTGCTCTCATTGTGCTCTTCCCAAGCTGAAGAATCTGAGGTCAGCTGCCTCCGGCAGCATCTCTACCTTTCTCCGGGATGCTCTTCAGCCATGATGTGCGCGTGGCATTTCTCCTTTCTGAGAAGCTGTCCTATTATGAGCAATTACTTTCCTTCCTTAGCTACGTATTATCCTTTTAGTAACCAATATGTTAGTTATGTTTGGGGATTTCCTCCAATAAGAGCTATGGTTGTCCCCTCAAATTAAACAATTACATTTTCCAGCTATAAGCTTAAGAGCTCAGTGGATCCAGCCTACCTGAGTTTAAATCTTGACTGTAACTCTCAGTAGTTTTGTGAACTTGGGCAAGTTCTTTAACCCTCTTGCATCCCAGTTTCCTCATCTGAAAAATGAGATCACAATTATTAGGATCTAACCCATAGTGTTGTCTGGAGAGCAGGTGAGTTAATACATATAAAATGCATAGAATAGCCGTTAACATATAGTGAATGGTAGCTTTTTTTTTATTACTATTGTTAGTATTGTCATTTTGTTTGTGATCGACATTTTCTGATGTCCTGCCCAGACCATTTGTGTTGAAATCACCTTTCCCTCCCGCCCAGTACCTGGTTTGGATAAAGAACACTAGACGTTTGAGTGTTACAGTCTAAAACTCACACGACGTTTCGTCTCCTACTGAAGCTGGACGCTGCCCCAACATTCAGAATAGGACGGAGGCTTGAGAACGTCTGAAGGAGATTTACTGCTGTTTAGAAAGGGAGCGGGTAAATTGTCATCAGCAAAGGAAACCCTGAGTGTCTCTTCCCGACCTACGGGCAGCATCCAAAGCAGCAGGGGGAGTTTGTTTTCCGAGGAGGCCAGGCAAGGACACACCGCAGACAGCAGACCCCCAGCTGTGCCCAAGCCTCTCTCCTTTTTGAGATAATAGCGCTCTGCCATCCAACGAGTGAGACGTCTGGTTCCCTCAAGGAAGTTGCCAGGAAAAATTGATCAGCAAACGAATAATGTTTTTCTAAGCCTTGGTACCTGGAACATTTCTCTCATACAGTGTTTGAAATGAACTTTTTCACGCGGGAACTTGGATGAGAATCAGATGGGGGCAGACAGACTAGGGGTGAAGACTGTCAGCCTCCGCTTTCCATCCCAGCCACCCGCCTACCACTGTGTCATTTCCGCTGTGTCACTTTGGGCAAATCACTCCTCTTCTCTCAGCATCGGTTTTATCTGCTGAAAAAAAAAAAAAAGACTAATACTGCTTCCTGGGGCTGTTTTGAAAAATTAAATGAGATAATTTATCAGTAGAAGGATGTAAACGTTTAGTGTTTTAACAGTGTCAATTATGGGGGTGGGGTTTGTGGCTTTCCTTTGTTCACTGCTTCAGAAGGTGTAGGTCACTGCCTCTCTCCTTTCTTTTGAGAAACAGTGAACCGGTTTTTCCATAGCTAATGACTTGGAGTTTCGTTTGAACCAGTTGTAAGATTCATTGTGAACAAAGAACACAGCCTTGGGATTGAGGATGAAGATGGTGCCGGGGTGCGAGCCTTGGGGGATGGAGGATGGAGTGGGATAGTGGGGACAAGGATGGTGGGGTTCTGATGCCCTGGGTGGCATCCTGGGGAATTGTTTCTGGGGCTGTGGGATGTGCCAGGTGAGGACATTGAGAGGAGACTCCAGGGAGCGCCATGATGGGCATTCTCACCACCAGACCCCCTCGCCTCCGAGCATGCCTTCCTCTGGGACATTCGCCAAGTGGGGTTCCGTTTTCAGTGGGAAACGGATGGCCAGCCAGGCCTGCAGACTGTGCAGCTGTGACTGTGGTTTTCCCTAGTTGTTGAGAAAGCAATTACAAACACAGCTTGTTTTTAATTATTTTTGAAGTGGCTACTCAAAAGCAGCTCTCTGAGGTAAAGTATCACTTAGATTCTCATCTAAATTTCTCTTCAACCATCATCCTCAGGGATTCTCGTCTTGGATATAGGTATGTGGTTGTAGTTACTTGCCTGAATATCTGTAGATCTTATTCAGATTGAACATTTCATCACCTTTTTGAAAATCCTGCACAAAGTTTCTTTATTTTATTTCTTTATTTTTACCCAGGCAGACTCCTGCTGGAAATGACACTTCCTCTGGAGAATGATCCTCTTCTGTCTGAGAAGGACATTTCCTCTGGGATACACAAGGAGTGTCCAGAGAGGATGGCAAGATGGGGCCATCAGATCACATTCACGTTCCCTCTTGTTTTTCCAGTCACTTTCCTCTACATTCTATACATCTTCTCTCCAGCGAAGCCAACACCTAACTTCTAGAATGAGGTAAGGGAATAATTATGCAAAAATAGTGTACTAGTTATCTACTGCTGTGTAACAAATGACCCCCCAAACCCAGCAGCTTATACAACACACATGTATAATGTCACAGTTTCTGAGGGCAGCATCACTGGATGGTTCCAGCCCAGGGTCTCTCATGAGGCTGTAGGTACCCAGGTAGGAGCTGAGCTGCTTTCAAGTCCACTCCTGAGGTTGTGGGAAGGGTTCCATTCCTCACAGCTGTTGGCTGAAGATGTCAGTTCCTCACCACATGGGCCCCTTCACAGGTTGCCTGAGTGTCTTCAAGATGTGGCATCCAGCTTTCCTTAAAGTCAAGGTTCCAGAAAAGAGAGTCCAAGATGGGAGCCACACTTGTTTGTAACCAACTCTCAGAAGTGGCTTCCTTTCCTTTTGCTGCCTTCTGTTGACTCGGCACAGACCAGCCCTGATCTGGAAGGGGTTCCACAGGGGCAGTCCTGTTTGTGCCCATTTTACTTTATTTTATTTTAAAGATAATCAGAATTCCATTTCATTTCATTTTTAATACAATTTTTGGCGGCAGGGGGGTAGGTAGTTTGGTATGTTTGTTTGTTTAATGGAGGCACTGGGAATTGAACCCAGGACCTCATGCATGCTAAGTATGTGCTCTACCACTAAGCTATACCCTCCTCGTGCCTATTTTATTTTAATGATGGTAAGATGCACCGTATTTCATACACCACTAAGAAAGACAGAACATATGGGCCCTATTCAAATGTAACACAACACTTTCAGCTCACTTGGATTTACTTAATACTTATTGAAAGAGCTCTTTTGGACTTACTCAGATAGGGATTACCATCTTATATCATTCTTGTGCTCGCAGAAGAAGAGGAGTAGAAACAAATTAGTTGACGTCTTAAGCTTCTTCACATACGGCGTGTGCTCGTCTGAATAGTTATTTCAACTCAAAGCTGTCAATGTCCGTGTTTTTCTGGCCACAGGCTCGTCCTCTGAGCCGTCAAGAGAGGGGCACTGGTGATGCAGTGCTTCACGAAGAGGGCTCTGCCACAGGCTTTAGGGCTTTCTTTCAAGTCTTTGACACCCACTCAGCAAGATTTGAAACAGTAGCATCCAGCCCCTCCATCGCCTCATAAAATAGTAATGCTAAGTGATTTCCCCCAGGTCACAAACTGAGGAATGACAGTCAGAAGTCAGCTCCTGGGCTAGGACTCCAGGTTCGGGGCTCTTCCCCCCCAGCAGACCTGTCTCCTCGAGCCACAGGGAAACTCTGCAGTGAAACCACAGGGTTAGAGTAAACTCCCGCAGCGGAAAGCCTGGAATTCTGTTTTAAACGACGCCAAAAACTTCAATCAGCACCAAAGTGGAAATCATGCACTAATTGGAGTTCAATGATGCAGATAATATGGAATGGGGAACGCTGGCTGACAGGCAGCTCTCTCCAGCAGCTCAGGCACTTTCTCTGCATTTCAGCACCAGCAGCAGAACTCAGAATGACAACAGCAACAAAAAAAGGTAAAAGAGGGCAGTTGTTGGGCCAAGGGTCTCCCACGTATCCACACGTTTCATGTCTACCTGCCATCCTCTCTCCGTTCGCCATCTTTGGAAAGCCCAGACCACTGCGGAGTTCACTGTCAATGGCCTTCATTATAACTAAGGCTCACCAACAGCTCTCGCGTGCTCCTGGCTCGGGGGACATCTGGACCAGCAGCCATTTGCTAACAAGTGTCCTTGGATGTATGTGTTCTCCACTTTGGGAGGAAAGTCACTGCATTCGTCGCCATTGATCTAAACCTTACATTTGGCTAAATGGTTTAAAAGGCTGATGCTACTTAATAAAAAAACCATAACAACCGAGGAAAAAATCCATTTTTGCCTTCAATGTCCAATCTTGAACACAAAATACTCTGTTAAGGGGATGGAGTTAGGATTGATCTCCCATTTCCTGGAAAAAAAATCTTTATATTATTGTTATGTTTTAAAATAAACAAGAAATTCACTATGTACAAGTGAAAGATTAATTTTCTATATAATTATCTCATCAAGGTAGGTAGCCATTAACTTCAAAATTAAGTCAATCACTCTATGTAGTTCCGGTTTCAGGTAACCAAGTCTTTGGGAACACCGTGGAAGGAAAATACATAGGGACAAACTCCTTTATTCTTTTCAGGAGAATTTTATATTTTCACTCTTTATGACTCACAAGCCTGTTTAAATTCAACAGTAAACTGTATAATGAGTTATGTAAATTAAAGAATGATTTCAAATGATTCAATTCATGGAGAACTGTTTGAGAAGATTAAAGAAAGGTGAAATTTCTAAATCACAGGAGATATTTCAAATCCAAGGTTTAATTCATAGGGCTCATTTATTTCCTGTTTTAAAATATGTCAGGTTTTAATTGCCTCATTAGCACATCCAGTGATTTAAAAGGGTAAATATCTTGATACGGCAGATGCGAAAAAAGACAACAGAAAATGTTCTGCACACACTGCGAGACCACTGGAACAGGAAGGACGCGGCTCACTGTAACTTCCCATATTACAGATGAAGAAACTGAGGTCCAGGCTAGTGAATAACAATCTAGGTAATCTCATGTTGAGGGGGCAGAGGGGAATTTCAGGATGAGGCAGGGAAGGAGTTAATAGGAGGAGACAAAACATCAAGTTGTAAGTCAAAATAAAAGGAGTTCAATTTGCAAATTTAGAGAAAAGGATACCTTAATGCATGCTTATGGGGAAACAAACAAAACCAGAAAAAAAAAAACTGTAGAATGTTTTGTCCTTTTACCACTAAAAAAGTGAGGTGAGCCAAGAATAAGGTGGGCATTTAACCTAGTAGGATTAAGATTTGTTCTGTCATACTGGACATGACCTTTACAGCAATGGGTTCCATTATACTGTGGGAGAAAAATCAATGTAAAGTGAACCTTAAGAGATAGAGCAACGTTTGACTTACTTAGCTCCATGCGCTTGTGGGGAAAATCTGGGAAGAAGTTTGGGAAGGCTTTGTGTCAGGCACAGAATTGGATCCCAAAAGGAACAACATGATTTATGTATAAAAGGGGGGCCTTGAGCCTACGATCCAAGAATTCAGGATATAGCCCACTTGCAGAAAGGTGGGGCCGCGTGGTCTGTTCTGGCCAATGGACCATAAGCACAAGTAGCAAGGTGAGGCCAAAAGATACCACGTGACATCTCAACTATCTCTCCCTCTTCTGAGGGGCGTCACGGAGCCGGGAGATGAGTCAGGAGACACAGAATTCAAGAAGCCTGGGTCACTCTGTCTCTGATCAAGATGCGTTAACCTTGCGAGTCAGCAGACCTACAGTGGACTTCGCGTGAGTGAGAAAGAAACACTGTATCTTAAGTCACTGCAGTTTGGCGGTTGTTCATTGCAGCAGCACACGCCTAGCCTAGCCTGGTTCATTCACCTCCGTTGGCTGCCAACCCACAATGTCTTGCCCCGTCTCCACAGTGGCATCACTGCTGGGAAGGAAGCTTGGGCTAGGAGACTGCAGTCCATTCTCCTGTCGGTCCATGTCAACTGATTTGGTAACTTTGGGAGGCGTGGATAATCAGGTTAATTAATTAATTGATGGAGGTCCTGAGGATGGAACCCAGGACCTAGTGCATGCTAAGCACACACTCCACCACTGAGCTACACCCTCCCCTTATGTCCACTGGTTTGGGATTGAGTGGATGCAGCAGCCAGGAGTGTTGGTCCCACCAAGAGTGTGGCTGTGGGTGTACAATCACCCAACATTTCACTGTGTGAGGTCAGGAGGAAAGGTCAGGCTTTCCTGAAAGCAGGAAAATTCATGACTTGGGTGAAATAAAAGACAGCTTGAGAATATTTAGAAATCTTTGGAAGTTGCTAAACTTGCAAGAGAAATAGAGAAAGTACCATTTCCCACAGAAATGCAGTTCATACCTTGAAGGGAAGCTGGCCTGGCAGACTGGGGGAGGGGAAACCTAGAGGCTGCTACGTGGAACCACGTTCAGTGGTTCTCTCTGACTTCCTTCCAAAGTGTGCAGTGCACAAGGCGGGAGGAGTCACTCTACCGTGGAGAGAGCTGACCAATGTTCCCTCAGCCAGGTCGTCAAGGCCACCACGAACAGTGATAAGTCATGTCCACAGTGTGCCTTGATGTGATGTGACAGGAATGACCCTTTATCTCTGAGGTCTTCCTCCCAATAACCCAGGACCACAGTTTTATCATGAGAAAAACACTAGACAAATTCCAGCAGTGGGACGTGCTACGAAATACCTGACCGGTGCTCCTGAGAACAGTCAAGGTCATCAGAAACAAGGAAAGTCTGGGAAACTGCCATGGCCAAGAGGAACCTCAAGTAGACCTGACAACTAAATGTACTGTGGTGTCCTGGATGGGATTCTGGAACAGAAAAAGGACACTGAGGAAAACCGGGGAAATAATCAAATTGGAACTTGAGTTAATAAGAATGTGTTGATATCGATTCATTCTTTATAACAGATGTATCATACACGTGTAAGATGTTAATAATTGGGTAAACTGGGTGTGAAGTACATGAGAATTCTTCATACTATCATCTCAATTTTTCTGTAAATCTAAAACTGTCTTAAAAAATACAGTTTATTAAAAAGAAAAAAAAGGTAAAAAAGGAAAAAGAGGCAAATTTGTCTGAGATGGTCTCTGATGAGCATACCCTAATTACAGCTGATGCTGAGTGTCCCTCTCCTGGATGCGTTTTTCCCCTTTTCTGAAATGGATGCTGGAGGGGAGATACTGCGCTATGTTGTGCTCCCAGGAGATCTGCATTTCTTCGTTTAGTGGAACTCAAGTGGATAGAGGTTAAAAAGAGAAGGGGAAAGAAATAAAGTATTCCCTTCAAGAGGTAAATGTTTGTATCCCCATTTCTTTTCACCAAGTAAACTTGAGACCCACGCCTCTTGCTTTGGGGTCACTGCTGCAAAGTGACCTGTGAGAACTGTCAGCGCAGATCTTGAGTTTAGCAGCTAGTCAAGGTTCATGGGGAGGGGACATAGAAGAAAAAGAAGGAATGGAGAGAGAGGATAAGTGTAGAGGCCAGGGGCAGACGGGATGCTCTGTCTTGCCTATTTCAGTTCTTTCCTGGCTGCCCAGGTTCAGTAGTTGACTTGCATCTGGGAGATGGGAAACGTGCATCTATAAATGCTAGGTGGGAGATGCCCACATCTGGGGAAGGAGCTACAGAAGGTGTAGAAGGCAGACACAGCCCTCACCCCCGAGCTATCCTCTCCAGAAGGAGGGTCTGCTCTCTTTCAATTATTTTCTCTCTCCTTCCTTCTCTTCCTCCACGTCCTTCCTCTCCCCGCTCCTTTCCTCCCTCTCTCTCCTCCCCCGGCCCCTCCCCCTCCCCCTTTCCTCTGCAGCTCTGGTTGATTTTTGAGCTCCTACATTAATGATGCGACCCCAGGAAATTCCTCCAGATGGGATCTTCTCCCCAGCCATTTGCGAGTCAACTTCTACATTTCTCATTTTATAAAACGAAACAGAAATGAAAAAGTAAAGTACAAAGTTAAAAAAAAAAGAAAGAACAATTTTAAAAATTTTTAATAAAATAAAATAAAACGAAACACACCCACATTTCCTTAACCTTGCCTTCCCTCCTGCCTGGCTCCCTCCTTTCTCTCTGCCCGGCAACATCCGTCGCCCACACCTGGTCTTCACTTCATCAGGGTTGTTAATGTGGTTGTGAAGCCACGGGCCCCGAGTACCCAGTGGAAAATGACCTTGGAAAGAGACTCCTGCATCGGGGCCAGAAATACTCCTCAGTCAACACTCATTAAAGCCCTGTTCCCCCAGCACCGAAGGCTTCCCTGCAGCCAGTGTGACTGTGGCTCCACTCCGGGAAGAAAGCTCAGGGGAACACGAGACTTGAAGGTTCCTGCTTGAGACCCCCCTCTTCTACTGACTTTCCCGCAGACCCCAAAATATGTGTCAGCCCGAGGCCAGGGGATCATTCTGTCCTCTAAGCGCTGCATTTGCTTCTGTTTCCCCTGACACTGGGGCTCCTGTCCTGTTTCAGGTGTTGTTAGTGGAAGGGAAAAAAAACCACAGCAAAGGGGGAAATTGTGGAAGAAAAGCTTCAACCAACGGTGCAATTAATTAAATGGTAATAAATAATCATTTGAGAAATTAGATATTTTGTGGTTGATTTTTATGACTTTTAAAATAATGTAAGTGGTGGTAAAAACTCTCCAACATCCAAAACCACAAGTCACATTTCGGTTGTGGTTTTTCATTCCCTACAAAATACAAAACACTTGGAAAAGATCACTTCAACTATATTTTCCCCACGGAGGTTGAAATTCTTTTCAAAATGATCCCTGGACAATTTACAGGTCTTTCTACATTGGAACCAACATTGCTGCTTGAAGACTTACCTCAGTAATATTAACGTTAATTTATAAAAACACTTTCTAGTCATCAGAGCAGCTTTCACAGACATTATCTCATTTTATCCCACTGCTGGTTGGTACGTTCTCCGACTGAAGTTCTCGGAAAGCAAAAAGGCCTGTCCAAAGTCCCGCATCCAGAACATTCCAGGACCTCCTAGATCAGGGCTCAGCAAATGGTAGCCGTGGCCCAAATCCCACCCACTGTGTGTCTGGTACGGCATACAAGATAAGAACGAATCTTACAGTTTTCAATGGTTAGGCAGGGAAAAGATTTTTTTTTTAACTCAAGAAAATTACATAACATTCGATTTCAGCATCCACAGATGAAGCTTTCTTGGACCACAACCACGTTTACATACTAACCAGGGCTGCTTTCTTGCTACAGGGCAGAGCTGAGAAGCTAGACGGAGACCATATGGTGGGCAAAGCCTGAACTATTTACTCTCTGGCCCTTTACAGAAAATGTTTGCCAACCGCTGTCCTAGATAGAGGGCTTATTCCATCCCACGAGAGCTGTCTTTCCAGAACCCTAGGAGACTCCTGGACAAAGGAGGACCCCACAGGGCTCCGGTTTGTTCGCCCAGTAGAGGAAGCTTAGAAACTGACCTGCAATAAAAGGCTAGTCCTTAAGAGCCTGAGCGTCTCCGTGCTTCTGATTGGCGGAAAAGGAGGCTGGAGTCCCGCCTCCAGGCTGACAGGCAGCTCCCTCCTCCTACAGCGGGGCGCTGGAGGTGGGTCCTCACAAGACCTTTGCCAAAATGAAAGGGCAGTATTGCTCTTCCCTTCCTTCGCCTCCTCCAACCCAGGAAAAAGTAGTCCTCTTGACAGATGGGCTGTCCTTAGAATTAGAAAGGGCAAAACGTCCCAGCTTAGAGGCTGAGGAGACATGTGGAGAAGGGAACAATGCAATGCTCTAGGGCTGGTTTGGTTTCTAATTCAGAGGCATGTGATACAATATGCTGCACGCCCTGTGCCGCGTTTCCCCCTGCGGCGGCGGCTCTGTCTGCAGTAGGTGGGGTGGTGGGCTTAGGTCGGGGGTGGGGGAGAAGGGCGGATGAGATGGAGAATCAGGCCCAGGAGGCTCATTCTTCTTTCAGTAGAGCTTCTGATGCATTTCCATTCCCTGCTTTTCCACCTGCACCCACAAAATACATTATCTCCCTTTTCTGAGTTCCTTTTCTATGTCATTCAATTTAGGCTGAACTAGATGATCTCATGTAACTGTCTCTGTAACTCCCCAGGGCTTACAGAGGAGGGAGCAGGGCTTTGGGCTGTTTAAAATCCTTTCCTGGTGGGGAGCTGGTACCTGTCATGCCAGCATCGGGGCACTTCCCACCAAACCTCAAGGGCTCCACAAAGTCACATGTGTCTTCAGTCGCGGGCATGTTTTGGCTCTGTGACCACTCAGGGCATCGCCACTGTCGACAAGCATTCTCCCAAGTATATTTCCTCAGAGCACCCACTCCAGGGACCTTATAAGGAATCTTTTTTTTTTTTTAATCTGTTTGGGGCACAATGAGTTAAAAAAAAAAGCCTAACCAGGTTTCTTACTCAAGAACTTCTCAGAACATTTGCTGTGTTTCCACCTCTATATAGTTTTTAAGGCATTTTACTTAACCTCTCAGATTCTTCTTCTGAAAAATAGGAAGAATAATAACTGCCTCTTGAAGCACTCAGTGTGATTTCTTCTCTCTTTCTGTATTTGGCCAGGTTCACTTAACTTCTATTAGATGACGTGAATTGTAGCAATCAGAAAGGAATCTGAATAACTTGCAGAAAAAAAATCTTTCTGATAATAAAATAAAATAAAATAAAATAAAATAAAATAAAATAATGCACACTGGTTCAGAGATAGTGCAGCACATTTTTCCATTTATTGCAATGCTTTTCATAAAGCAAACAATCCCTCTAGGGTAGGGAAACTTACAAGGAACCATTCTGGGGCAAAACTGCATATTAACATGGCATCCTTGGGAGCAAAAGCCACACGTGTTAGTATGTAGTGCTGGAAATGCAGTCACTGTACCAATGAGACAGGAGACTGGGGTTTGCCAAGCCCTGGTCTAGAGGGCTCTGTGCTGGGCATGGGTAGACAAGCTGATTGGCATGGCATGTTGCTCATTTTTTTAAAAAAAGGTTGTTTTGTTTGCTCATTTGTTTGTTTGGCAGAGCAGTTAGCATCTTTCAGAACTTGTATTCTGAATAACACACGTTTGGAAAGACTTCAGAGCTTCGAGTTTCATAGTCATTTCCTCGGAAAAGCGGACACAGGAGCAATAAAGATGGTGGTGAACTGGGTGTAGGCTGAGGGGTCAAGTCTCCGGGAACTGGGCTATTGGCCTTAAAAGTTCAAGTCCCCAGACCACAAGAAGAGGTCCGATGGGTGGAGCTCACAGAGCAGAGCAACAGAATGGCTTTCTCTAAAGGATTTGTTTTATTCGGCTAGTCAGGGAGTGTCTGCAAGTTCCCAAACTCACCTGAAGACCCTTGTAAAGAGAGGAGACTTCCAAGACTAAGGGCATAAACCCCTGGAGCAAAACTGCCTGGATTCAGGTCATTGTTCCACACTTGGCTTGAGCAAGTCAGCTAAAACGTTGATGCCTCAGTTGTCTCGGCTGTAGAATGGGGATATCTAACTCACAGGCAAGAATTTGATGAATTATGTTTAAAGTGCTGACGCAGGGGAAACACTACGTGAGTATTGCCGCTAGCATTAATTTTCTCTTGTTACTATTCCTTTCTGTTATGGTTGTCACAGGGCTTACTGAATCATCTAGCTTCACATAAGGCAAGAGTCATTAGAAAAATTCTCTCT